AGGACCTCATTCGGGAAGGTGCTGAAGCCTGCGTTGAATTCTGAAAGCTCTTCAACCCAAGGTAGACCCCTTTGCACAACTGGCAGCCCACTACACTGAGAATGAGGAGGGAGAGGAGAAGGTGGAGGAAAAGCTTGAAGCAGAGCAACAGTGGGAGGAAGAAAAAGAGCTGCAGCAGACAGAAGAGCCCATTCATCGTTTCATAGTTGGTCAGGTCGGAAGGGACCTAATCAGATCATCAAGTCTGACCCCCTGCCCTGGGCAGGAAAGAATGTTGGGGCCAAACGACCCTGGCTAGGTGATTGTCTAGCTTCCTTTTGAAGACAATCTAAATAGGTATATTCTTTCTTTAGTCTAAATGATTTCAATGAGTAGAATTGGATTATTGAAAAAGAAAAACATGCATCTGTTCTGTTATGTCTATTAAAGAGAATGAAATATGACTGGGTTGAATTAAGTTATTAAGGTGCATCTTTCAAGATGTCTACCTGCTTACAATGTGCGTCACAATAAATGCTTGTATGCATGATTACTTAACCTATTTCTGACACTACTGCAGGCATGCACTGCAGCATTGGGGCCAGAAGTCCCCACAGGGTTGCTGGTGTGGTGGGTTGGGGAATGCATGCAGGTGCCTGCTGCAGCACCGGGAGGGGTGCGGATGTGTGGTGCAATGGGGGCCATCCACGTGGTGTAGAGCCCAGAGGCCTATGACCCTCAGTGGTACAGCCTGCAGGGCTTGCAACCCATGAGGTATGTGGCCCCTGGCTGCTTAGAAGTTGAACAGCCTTGTCTGTAAGTCTGGCTAAGATATCTGTGGAGAAGACCACAACTAAATATACTTCTACAATGCAGGAATTTTTGGACATTCTCTTTGTATTTGGGGAGCCTGTTGGCTTCATCCCTGGGCAGTGAAAAATTAAGGTAACTTTTCTGGTGGTACAGCAAGAATGGCAGCTGTGGTAGCATGGGATCATCTGGGATCTCTGGACGGAGCTGTCCCTACGTTAGACTACAATCAGCAGGGCTCTGTCCAGCTTTCTGCTTGCTGCCAGCCAGACCTTTTCACTGTTGCAACACAGTGGGACCAGACTGTGCCATTGACTCTGAACTTCCATACAAGGCTAAATTACTTTGCCACCATGATACATGCTTCCTTCCTATCTCCAGATCAATCTACACAACCACAGTTGATGGGAGGACATGTTCAGCGGAGGGGCATTAGAGCAAGGGCATCTCTCTCAGCTACATCTGCTTGTACATCCAGAGTCCACTAGGATAACATTCTGTTGCAACACAGTGGGACCAGACTGTGCCATTGACTCTGAACTTCCATACAAGGCTAAATTACTTTGCCACCATGATACATGCTTCCTTCCTATCTCCAGATCAATCTACACAACCACAGTTGATGGGAGGACATGTTCAGCGGAGGGGCATTAGAGCAAGGGCATCTCTCTCAGCTACATCTGCTTGTACATCCAGAGTCCACTAGGATAACATTCTCAAGCTGGGTGCCACAGCACTGTGGGGTGTCTTGAGATCCTTTCAGGGGTACCGCAGGGTGCCACGCAATGTTAGCACTTGTAGGATTGCAAACATAATTTACAAGATAAACCCAGAGATTTCCAATAGAAATCCAGAACATTTAAAACCATGCTGGCGTATTGTGATCCTTCAAAGTTCTTTGCAACAGAAAAATTATTTTTCTGTACTCAAGCAAATGAAGACTAAGTGCTTGCGTTTTCCAAGGGGTGCCTTGAGCCTAACAAGGTTGAGAGCCACTGCACTAGGGAAACGGTCTATAAAGTCCTCCCCGAGCTGGAGAACCGGGCGCCACATATGCAATTCTGCCTTGCAGCTGGGCTGCAGACAGAGGATCTCGATGCTTTCTCCCTCCATAAGGCTGTGGAGGACCTGAGGGCAGGCTTTGCCCAAAAGTACGAGTTCTGTTAGACAGGGGGCCTGGTCACGGCCTCTCCAATATTTTCAACTACTCCCAATTGTTTAGTTTGAAGTAGTGAATATTTCCAGCTGTCAGAAGGGCAGATTTCCCAGGTGCTTCTTTCCCAGCACACAAGGGCATCACTAGCAGCACTGTCATTGGAGCAGTACTGAGCCCGACATGCAGGCCACAGCAGGTCACACCTTTGATTTCTCAGCTTCTGATTGCGATACAGCTCTGACAGAGAGCAAGCTTGAGGACCGTCTACCCCTGCTTACCAGAAGGGCATTAACTGGTGTGCCCATTAGCCCAGGAAGCAACAGACCATGGGTCCTAGGTCCAGCTTACCCAGGAACAGTTTGAACCTACATCATCTTTTCCCAACACAGTGCTCTAATCACTAGGTCATAAGTTAGGCTTTGCCTAGAGCTTTCTCCATCTCTCCTCTCTAAGCTTTCCCCTTTAGCAGCCAAAACAGGGAGGTAAGTGAGGATATGAGGTGGTCCAAGGTTTTATCCTCCTTCCAAAAGTAAAGAAGCACCCCTGCGTTATGTAGCCATTTCAGCCACCATATGTTAAATTAAGGGTGTGGTGGCTGGTTCAAAGGGTCGTCCTATTCCACCATGAATTAGAATCACAAATGGCATAAGGTTGAAGCAATGTAGTCACACGACTGAACAGTACATAGAACTGGGCCTAAGAGTCCATTCCAGAGAGAGAACTGTGAGATGAAGTGTGTTACCCAAGGCTGTCTAACAGATCAGTGGCAGAGTCACAAGCAGATTTCCAGACTCTAGATTCCCAGCCATGTAGTATTTCAGCAGGACAATGCGCTCACCTCTGAGCAGCTGGATGGCTCTCATCTCAAAGCAGCTGGATGTGGGGAAAAATGTGTAAAGTACTATCAGTGTTGATTTTTCATTGTTGTTAAAGCACTGACAATGTGCTCGGCACAAAACAGGGTGCAGAACAAGAAACAAAGATGAAAAATACTATTGAAATGCTATGACTCTGCACTCTTGTTTGTCTCTAAATCCAAATGACTGTTTCCTTTTGGTTTTAGTGAGAATGCTGAGGAACCAAACCCAGCACTGGAAGCACAGAGAGCAGGTGTAAAGAAGTTCTTCCTTATGTCCAGCCTGAAATGGTCATGGAGGAGTTTGTGACCATTTGATCTTGTCATCCCTTGGGGTGCTCTGGTGAACAGACGTTCCCCCACATTCTGGTGAGCTCCCCTGATAAACTTATAGGTGGCTACCAGATCACACCTGAGCCTGCACTTTTCCAGGCTGAAGAGTCCCATAGCTCTAAGCCGCTCATCGTAAGGTCTGTTTTCCTGACCTCTGATCATGCGTGTGGCTCTTCTCTGGACTGTCTCAAGCTTCTCCATGTCCTTTTTGAATTGTGGAGCCCAAAACTGGACACAGTACTCCAGCTGTGGCCTCACCAAGGCCAAGTACAACAGGAGAATGACGTCCTGGGATTTTCTTGAGAAGCATCTATGGGTGCAAGCCAGCGTTTTGCTTGCTTTACTAGCTGCAGCATCACATTGAAGGCTCATGTTCATCTTGTGGTCAATCATGACCCCCAAGTCCCTTTTGTCTGAAGTGCTAGCCAGTGTAGCACTGCCGAGCCTATAAGCATGCTGAGGGTTTTTCCTCCCAAAGTGAAGAACCTTGCATTTTTCAGTGTTAAATGCCATCAGGTTCTTATCTGCCCATTTCTTGAGCCTGTCGAGGTCAACCTGGATCACCCTCCTGTCCTCAGGTGTGGATGCTTTACCCCAAAGTTTGGTGTC